AGAGCAGATATGTCAAGCAAACACAGTTAATGTGGGATATCTACACCAGTTTCCGGTGGTCCTGGTACTCTATTTCATGAATATTTTTTGGCGAAATAGGGAGAAGGAATTTATGTGGGTCCAGTGCTGTCCTATCCGAGTTTGGCGGGCTCTTTGCTTCAGTTTTGCACATATTAAAAATGCCTTGGGCATTTCAGTCAGACTTTTATTATTAAAAGATTAGCTGAAATTAGCTGATAATTTTTCAAAAAAATTTTTTAATGAAATAAAAGGAATTGCGCTGTCGCATATTTCCCTGTTCTGCGCTCTGGTAACTTTATTTAAGTGGAAGAGTTTCACTTCGTCAAGTATTTTGAATGCTGGAGAGCTCACGATTCCAGAATTTGTCCTCATCCATGAAACGGTAGAGATCGCTGGATCTTACAAAGTTTTATAAGCGAGAAAAAAAACTTTTTTACAAAGGTCACACACATACTCCGGGGTTTTTGAGAGAGATGACAGATTTAAAAGGATTATTTAATAATTTCTTTAAGCTAGCAACTAATTTATAACACAAATGTATGCGCACCAAAAGTATGGAAATGCTAGCAGCCGGTGAACATATGATGAAATTCAGTCATGCAAAGTATCAAAGTATTTGTTCAGGCATTGTTTTTTAGTTACACATAAATAGTTGTATGTAACAACAATATTTCTAATGTTGAAGATTTTGCCGGTGGACGAGCTTGAGGGTAAATTTGGTGAGATGAAATGGGCAATTTGGAGACAAAATCTTGAGGGTGTCGCGGGCGACGTGGACGATGAGGAAGATAATGCTTGCTTCGAGGAGCAGGTCCTCACGAAAACTCTGAAAAATACTGCTGATCGACGAAATCTCAGGAAATTCCTCGAAGAGTCACTGGCACTCGCCAGTGTAACACAACACGACAATATAGCTCATGTATGCGCTTGCTGTTATTATACGCTTACGTATGCATTCACAGAATCCCAAGACAGATTAGGGCGCGAAATCTTCTGGAAGGAGGACCCAGCCCTAAAGAGTTTCTCGTTAGAGTCATCATCAGAACGACTTAGCATAGCGAAGAAGAGAAAGAAACTAAACAAAAGCATTGTTCTCTCTTCAGCTTACTGCTGTCGAGCATCGCTAAATTGCCCAGAAAATTGGTTTACCTCATTAAGACCCACAATGGAAATTTACTTTAGCTCACGTATCCCTCATAATTATCGATAATTTGTGGTCCCAACCGCCAGTCATAACAATAGTATTAATAATAACAATGATAGTAGTAGAAGTAGTAGTAGCAGCAGTAATAATAATAAAAAAATAATAATGATAATAATGGTAACAATAATAATGCCAATAATAATAAATGGGCAATTTTATCTTCCAAAAGCAAATAACTGGCTAACGCACGGGCTGCCCGTGCGAAAATGCGCTTTTTGCATAGTTCTCCGTACATTTTTGTCGCAGACGACACTGTTTTTTCCAGCAGATGCTTCTAGCTAAAAGAATTTCAGACTGGCCGCTAGGACTGTCAGGAAACATCCCTTAAAAATTCCAGTCTTCTTGCTTTTCAGGTTCCCGAGCCGTCAACTGCCCGAAAAGAATTTGGCGGGCCTGTGCGTGGGTAGTCTGGGTTGAGCTCAGTGAGACTTAGGTGCACGGGGAACATCCCCTTAAAATTTCAGCTTTCTAGCTTTTCTGGTTCGCGAGTTAGCGATTTACCCGCAAAAAACTTTCACGGGCCCATATGTGGGTATCACGCGGGTAAGACCGCCCATTTTGAGGACTGGTGCCCAAACATGCATGTCGATCAAGTTCCCAAAGTTTCAGCCTTGTAGCTTTTGTAGTTCTCGAGATGAAAAATCGGTATAGGGGCTCGACGCACACACAGACATATATACACATACACACACACACAGACAACCTCTCGTCAATATGCGTTTTCTGCACTGCATAGCTGCATAAAGTGCATAAAAAGCGGTACTATTAAGGGGTGCATATATGCACTCATAGAAGCGATCTATTATGAGGCTTACAAAATGCGGTAAAAGACACTGAAGTATTCGGATTTTTGCGTTTGAT